TATATATATATATATTTTTTTTTTTTTACGGGCGTCTCTCGTTGTAATTAATGTGACAGCGTTATATAGAAGGGGACTTCGAGCTGTAAAGATCGTGAAATATTGCAGGATCATGGAAGTTATGAAATTGCAAATGAAATGTTGAACGAAATAAGGACGTATTAAACACGTTGTTACTTGTAAATTTGAAGATGCAAAATTATAACGCGACAAGTAGTTTTTTTTACTTCCAGTCGAGTTTAATTCTACTTATAAATGAATTTTAGAAAAATATCCTCGGTAAAAATATCGCAATTTAAAGGCCAAAGTATGCAGAACAATTCCCCAAAATTTCATCCAAATATTCAAGGTAGAAATAAAGTTATGGAATTTTATACGCCGGCATACGTACGTCGTATGTTGTTCGGCTTATTCTACTATGCGACAGGTCAGACGCAGAGAGTTCGATGCCTGCACAAGACAGTGCAGTCGAGCGTTCGAAGTGCCAGTACTATGATCCCATTCTCCTTACGCCTATACAATACCTCTATACCTCCAACAAATAAGATGGGTCTTTTTTGTGAATCGAGGCAAAAAATGGAGAACGGTAAGATAGAAAGAAAATAAAAGAAACGTAAATAAAAATTTAAATTAAATAAAATTTTTAAATAAAAATAAATAAAAGAATAAAAATAATAAGAAATGTAAATATATTTACATTTCTTGTTATTAAGAAGTTTTAAATAAAAAGAAATGTATCATTAGAAGCTGAAATCTCTAGAATTATGCAGTCAATTGTACACATCAATGGAAAATATTAAATGAAAGTATTTGAACGAAGATACGTGTGTACGTGTGTACAAAATGGAGGATGATAAGATATTTTTAAATGAAAATAAATGTCTGATTAATTAGAAACTGAAATCTCTAGAATTATATAGTCAATTATGTGTGTCAATGGAAAATATTAAATGAAAGTAACGAAGCTCACTTTCCTTCTATTAATTTAAACATACATGCACGCAATATCAATGAATATTTCTATCACTGTATATATTTGTGTATATATGTATGTGTACTTCTTATATATGTAGAGATTTTGTTTTAAACATTTGCTAAATGTAACAAACATCTGACATTTTATCTCGCTAATATTCTCCCTAAATTAACATTTAACATTTTCACATTCATTTTCATTCGATCATATTGTGTCAACACGTCACTCGTTGGATCGAAAATCAGCAAAAGGATCGAAACGGGGAGAAAAGTCTGCAGTTTTCTCGCGCGTTGGTAAATTCGCTGAAAGCTACGAGGATTACAAGTTCAAGCGCGCGTTCGTGTTTTTCACGGAACGTGTTAACCGCGCGTTTAATTCGAACGCACGTACTCCTACGTGCGCGGATTATATCGGGCGCATAATGTGAGCGTTTTAAGAGCCGGGAAATATCTCCGGCCGCATATATTGCCGTACTTAGCGTTCAACATGTTGAACGGCTCCGTTAATTTCACTAATTAAGTTAGCAACCATCCGGGGCCAACCTCCCCTCTCCCCCCTTCATGAGCGTTATTTATATTTTTCCTGCGCATTAATTCCTCGCTCTCTTATTTCCCGCGAGACTTCCTCCGGCTGCTATTTTTTTTTTTTTTCCGTTTCACCTCAACTTTGTCAGTTTGCTATTAATACGATGACGTTTCTCCTCTCGCTCTCCCTCCTTTACTTGAGAAGACAGTTACGGGAGAAACGAGATAAATCTGAGAAATGATTAGGGTATCGTCTCAAAGTCTTTGAGTATTATTATTATTACTTCGTTTGGAATTTCAAATTGTGAAAGATTTAATAACTGAGTTTAATTTGGCGACTTTTAATTAATAATAATTCATTTAACAAATATGACTTGATCAATTTTAACTGATTTTTAAATTAGGATGAATTAAATTTTCGATTGCATTGGTTTCTGAGTTTTCTTATTGCAAGTTTAATTTGATGATTTTTTTAAATAAATAGTAGTTAATAATAATCAATTTAATAAATATGATTTGATCAATTTTGACTGATTTTTAAATTAGGATGATTAAATTTCCGATTGTATTGGTTCTGAGTTTTCTTATTACAAGTTTCAAGTTTAATTTGGTGATTTATTTTGATTTTTTTAAATAAATAGTAGTTAATAATAATTAATTTAATAAGTATAATTTAGCCAATTTTTATTGATTTTTAAATTAAGATAATTCAGTCAATTTTGGTATGAGTATTATTTAACTTTCGATTACATCGGTTCTGAGTTTCGTTCCAACAAATTTTCGATATTTCTGATTACATTTCCCATTCCTTCGTTTTTCGTAATTTCATCCAACATTCTTGATTATATTTTTACTCTTTCCTGTTCGTGATCTAGCATGCTACTCTATTATATTTTGCTTTCCCGACAGATCCCGAATATTTCCAATTGCATTTTCATCCTTTCGGCCCCACTTTGTCTCATCTGATATTCCACCAAGCGTTTTATCCTGAAGAAACTTCGAATATTTCGTTAGCAAAAACGTCGTCCTCCGTCCGAACAATATCCCGGTTATGTAAATCGTATGACGAAGAAGAAAGAGATTATGGAAATTATATAAATTGAGAAATTATGGATCCTCTTTCATACATATTCTATAACGTTGTGCCTCGCTCGTGTTTCTCGATTTTACGATTCCAGCGGCTCCGTTGGCTTTTAATAAACGTTTGCCTACCGTGATGTCACGGGGCTACGGGAACTCATAACTCGTTAAAACCGTGTAACCGGATGGACGTTCGAGTTTTTGCGCGCGAACGAAGTATGCCGTCCTCCCATGGGATCTTTATTATTTCAGTGGGCGACAGCTGTTCTCCGTTTCTCAACGTAGAAGAAATAATTGAGGAGTGTTTCACAGTTATCTCGGATGATAGAGTAGTTTACAATTGTAATTGAACGATGAATGAATGATGAACATAGTATAACACTTGCGTTCAACAAAATACGAAGGTCCCGGACTCCTAACATTGAGGATAGTTTTCACTCCTTCAACATCGACGATTGCCGAGGAAAATACGTGTCAAATATTCTTTTTTTCGAAAAATATACATTTATTTCCAAATTTCATCAAAATCCTATGTTACCTTGTTGGTTTTGCTATTTTACCATTGGATTTACTATCTTTAAATTATCTGAAAATTAATTAATAAAATTTAAAAAAATTGAAACTAAATCTTTAATAAAGAAAATGAGGATAAAATACAACTTTATAAATATTTAATTTTGAATGGATTGGATTTGAAGATAAATGTAAAATTATTAGATGAACAAATACTAATATTAGAATAATTAATGGTAAAATAAAATGTAAGGAAAAAGATCGATTTAATAGAAAATCCCCTTCATACTCATTCAACAACTGTCCAATATATGGAAGTGCAGATAATAAATTAGTAATTACTATCTCATGGAAGTACATAACCTAAAAATGCAGTAATTACTGATAGAAACAAAATTGTCCTTCCAATTAGTCACACATGAGTTCATTTAAAAGAGTAGTTATATAAATTTCGTCAAATATGAATGTAAATTAGTAAAAAAATAAAAAGAATCTCCATTTATATGAATTAGACGAATTAATCATCCTGAATTCACATCTTTTATAATATATGAAACTCTACTCATGTAAATGATAAATACGATAAATTTATCCTGTTTTTCCGTGTTTTTCCCAATTTTTCTTGCGTAAATGTGCGTAATATATAAAATCTGGCAAATTTGATTATTTGTCACTGTCAGGGGGCAAATTCAGTCTAAAAAAATGGTCTATCCTCGTTCTCGAGCACACGCGCCAAATAAAAGTGTGTACGCAACGCGCGGCAAATACGAATCAAATACAAAAGGAAAAAAAAAACCAAACGAACGATCGAAGTACAAAGACGATTCATCGCATGAGAGACGCGTAACCAGCGTAATCGATTTCCTCTGTCCCGCGAAAACGCAGGCTCCTATTAGAATCAACCCCCGTCGGAAGCTTATCCGCGGAATTCAAGGAGCTCGGGTCTCCCATTGTGTTCCCCGTTCGAATGACAAACTGCTTCTTCACCAGCCATAAATCTCGTCGAATGTGAATTTCACATTCTCGATTTTTTCCCCCTCCGCGCACATCGGAGGTTTTAATCCTTCGGGCGTTAATCATGAGAAATCGCGGTGCGTGCACGACGAAACTGCAAACGTTTCCTATAAACAGCACCATCGTGTTTCCATCGGGACAGGACGAACGGGATGGGGCCCGTCTTACTGTCTGTGGCGCTTATGGCTCTCAATGCCGGGATGACAAATACGTTGCGTTTAGCGATATTTATGCGAGCGGATCACGTCAGCTTCCGCTGACTGGACTAGCCGGATTATCTTGTCCTTGAGAAATATCGCTCTCGCCCAGTTTGACGCTGCGCAACCTGCCCAGCGTAGATCGTTCCGCGAGCGTAATATTAAGTTACTTCTCGGCTTTGCTAAGTAAGTAAGTGAGTGAGCGAGCAAGTACAATGCGTTCTGTCCGAGGCGTTGAAAAATTAACGGTGGTTTCTGCGAGAATCTTTTTCGCGGAAGATTGAAAGGCGAGAAGATTCGAGTAGATTACTGCTTCAGTGTGAGAAGGAAGCATGTCGTAAAATAATTCACGAGAATTATAGAGTACAAATGGATCCCTGAATGTGGAAACAATCACTTCACTCGCGAAACATTGAAACTCTTCAAGCTGAAAGCTCTAACTTTGTCTGCACGGAACACTACGAAGTTTTTCGCTCTGAAACTTGTCAGACAATGTCGTGGGGTCCACTTTCGAATATTAGAATATTATGTCATAGTTCAGTTACGTATCGAAGTTCTTATTTTAGAAAAATAATAATACCCGGTTTTACCCTCTAGCTTGCCTTATTTGAATTTGAATTGGAAATTTTCATTGCACGAAGTCGACGTGAAATTAAGTTGAGAAACGAATGGAAAGGAATTTAAAGTTGATTACACGATGTAAAACTGAATCAGAATTCCATCGAATCTGTACATATGATAAACATTTTTCATGTATTT